TTTACTTTTATATTTTAAGTAAATTTACAAGCCTGTACTTTGTTACTTTTACTTGAATAAAGAAGTTTAATCAGTACTTCCACTTTTACCAGAGTATTTTTTAACACAAGTATCTGTACTTTTACTCAAGTACGGAAAGTGAGTAATTTTGCCATCTCTGTCCCAGATTGATAACATAGAACTCAACTCTGTTCTATACATATCAATCTGGCTTCTGCCAGGTTACGGTCATTCTATTATTTTATTTTATTGAAATTAATGTACACTAACCTGTTGGTGTTTTACTGTGATTGCCTGCTTTCGTGAAGCAGTCTGATTTCACAAAACCATAAAATGGAGGAAAAAACAAGGCTGAGAAAACCAGAGGAGTGACAACCTTTTAATGTTATTCTGGGAGCCTTTTATATCCCTTGGAGGAGTTGCTGATGTGCTGGTAGGCCAGCCACTCCTGGGAAGTTTAACCGCTGTTCCATGTTTTCTTCATTTGGGGACAACCACACTTGCTGTGGTTCACTGTAGACCTAAAGCCTTAGAAACCATCTTATTCTTTCCTGACTAAAAGGGATTTGTGACCTTTTCATCCTTCTTAAATATATTTATCTCAAAGCACAATACATTGTTTTTTTTCTAGATCAGTTTATCAACATATTCTGAGAAAAGTTCTTTTTTAAGGATTCTTTGATTCTACAGATCTGGTAGTAAACGGGCCCGAGTAAGCTGTTGAAATTGAATTTAGTTTTCCATAAAACAAAGATTTTAAATGAGTGATCTTTCATTTATGATTACCCAAGGAAGCTGTTACTTTTTGTAAGTTTGTGTGTGCAGGTCAGATTCTACCACTTTATATAGTCAGGTTATCATGAACAAATATTAAAACCTGTTTTAATATCTGTCAGAAACAATTTATTGTGTAAAAAGACATAAAAGAAGATTTGCTTCGTAGCTTCATCCCATCTCACATCTTTTCAATAATGCTGTAGTAAAGCAATTGATTTTTAATTTCTGAAAGCTGTTGAAGGTAAACACATTTCTCTTAAGAACAAGCATATAGTTGACCATTTAAGTCGCATAATCTACCTCATTAAACCCGAAAATAAATCTGTAAGGGACAAATAATGCTTCTAGAGGAAATAGAGGTGGTTCTTAAAAAGATTAGTGATTGTAAAAGTTATATAGAGAGAAGCACTGAGTCGACAATAGATTAGTGCTGTGGGCAACCGAGCATGAAGGACAATTGCATTGAGAGAAAAAGAGAAAAAATTGGGCTTTGCTTTCTCACCTATATAATGACAAATAAAGAAAGGAACCATGGATTTTATCTGAGGGGAGAAGAAAAATGAACAAGTATCTGAAAGACAGGATTTGTGTTGAAACAATGATAACCCTCTCCTGTATGAGGCCCGTGTTTTGCTCGCTGGTTACATAACCTAAGTCCAGGCAAGTTAAATCGCACAGTGGGGTCTCTGCCACTGCAGATCCATCAGTCCCTCCGAGGCAGCAGGAAGCCTAATGTAAACCACTTCTCATTTTTAATACATTCTTATAAGCACAGAATAAGATAAGCACTGAGATAGGATAAAACGGAAGGAAAGTGTCGACGCTCAGGGGCGTTAAAAAACAGGAGTGGAAAACCTCTCCTTCTGAGCAGACATATCCAGTCTATCCATCCACAGGGTAATGAATCCATCAAACATCCCAGTGCAGCACTGCTGCCGCATCCTCTCTAGTCAATATAAAAGTCTTGGCCATTTTGGACTTACATAAGCACCCTCCATGTTGTCCAGGTCAGTTAGGTTCCAGATTATTCTTAAATGCTCTTTTTCAAGTAGCAAGGTCTTTACACCCTTTTTGTCACCATGGAAGCCAGTTTGTAGCCAGACAGCCATCAAACGTGCTGTAAACACAGTTTTGACTGTGTATAAATATCATAAAAGGACAAGTTAACGTCATTAAAGATAGCATGCCAGACACATTTCTTGCTTGCCCTGGGACAGATATGACAAAATGCTAAAAATAACCAAACCCTCTACTAGAGAGCACAATCTTATCCTATTGAATCTAGAAAATTGTAAACCTTGCAGATATGTACAGATATTTAGTCAGGGTAAAAATAATCCCAATTAACTAACTTGATATTTAAAAGTTCAAACAACTACTACTAACCCCAACAGGTTGGTATTTAAATGAAACTGAAGCAATTTTTTTACGTCTATACTTTAAAATTGTTTACCACTGGCACAAATACATATGGTCAACACTGGGCCTGATCTTCAGAAGGTTTGCAGATTTTGAGACAGGTGCGAACCTGTTTCAACTCGCAGAGTGGATCTTAAAAGATGGTGAAGTGTTTTGTGTTTGCAATTCAGCAGTGTGCTCAAGTCTTTTTTTTTTTTTTGCATGTTTGCCTTCATCAATAAGCACAGCATACTGTATTTCAATGACTAAACTGCGAAAATGTAAGGGTAAATTATATGCATATGTGACCATTTAACATGTGCAAAGCAATTTTCCAAATAGAAAGTTAATTGCGGCCGCATCTTATTTTAGTACTTCTGATTGACAACCGCAAACTGACAACAAACATCTGAGGGAATTAGTACAAGGCCAGATATTGGAGAGAGATTCTGTGTGAATCTAAACATATTTGGAACATCAGAAATAATAAGATTAATATTAATAATTTTGTTTATATTTAACTTTTACATTTTTTTATTTTCTTCCTATTTTACTGTTGTTGGTAGCACTTTATGATAGGATACTGATTTCAGGTACACATCAAATATCATTAAAGGGGTCAGAATGCAAAACTGAGTTTCCATTGTCATAGAAGAATAACAATAGTTCAGTGGTTGAATGGACTGAAGTTCAAACCCCATGGACACCTCCTTTCTCTGCAAATCTCACAATTCTAACCTTCCACCATAAAACAGGCAAATTCAAAACAAGCCCCGAATTGACGTCAATTTGGGGCTGTTGCCTTATTTGGTTCTGGGGGGCTGCTGGGCCACTGACTGGACCAGACCGAGCATTTGCACTGGAAAAACGATCTAGGAATAAGGAAATTTTTCTTAAATTAAGTGTATTAATCCTTGATTTCAGTAGGAAAATGAGATAGCTTGCCACTGTAATTAGTACTTTTACTGTTGATGTAAGATAATTAGATAACATGCACTTGAAATAAGACAATGCAATTGTGTTTTCTTATTTTAAGTGTAAATAGTCTTTTTCCATTTGCAAAATGTCTCTTTTACCTCCTCAATCCAAGAACAAATGCACTTATTTTAAGAAAAAATTACTTATCAAGATTTTGATTTTTTCCAGTGTCAACTGAGCCAGCCGGGACGGAGCGACCGAACCTGACCCGGTGACAGTATGCTCCTCCCACCCTGCTGCTGGTACAGCGTGCAGGTTTGCAACTGTTAACATTTGTGGAGCAATATTTGTAGATCACCTCCAACAATAATATACATGCTAAAAAAAAACAAAGTATGCACAGGCAATTTAGCGCCTCTTATTTCAAATCTTTCAAGGTCAGATCTTTTATCTATTCCTAAACTTACATATTTCTCTCTGCATAAAAACACGAACAAAACGTTTCTTTTTCTTTGTACGAGATCAACAGTTAACTTCGGATCACAGATTTAGCTGAACATGCTGGGTGGATCCAGGGTCTACACAAAATTATACACCGGTTGTTTTTGTATAACAAAAGTCAAACCTCAACAACTTCTAAGAGAACATGCAAAAAATAAAACCAGCCATTTTTGGTTGGTAATGCATATTGTGATGGCTCCGATTCAAACATTGCTATCAGCATTGCAATATACAAAGGTAGGCCATAGGTCAGGATGACTGAGAACCTTCATCAGCCATAGGTCAGGTTTTAGGACAGCCTTATTGGCTGATAAGGCATTTAGTCTGCACTCCTGAGTGGAAAAAGGACCCCTGGACATTACTGAAAGTGTGATAATCTCATGATTAGCAGCCTTGTCTTAAGTTACAAAGCTGTCTGTGCATCTTAAAAATAATTTACGATAATAACCTTGTTGTACTAATAAATACATAGAAATGTATTTTCCTTGGGAAGATGACGGCTAAAAAGTAGAAAATACATTTAGGCTGTTTGGTTAAACAAAGCTAAATCTGACCAAACCATGATGTTGCTCCAGCTGCAAACTGGGGGAAGAAAAAGAGCCTTCAGAAAAATCACATCTTTTTTTCCTCCCAAGTCTTAAAAATAGGCGTTAATTAGATCTCTGTGGTGAATTAAAAATACATGATTTTTTTTCTTTATTAATGTGATCCCCTTCCCTCCAGTCAGAAGTCCTCATCCCTGTCTGCACGCATGGCTGTGTGTGCCGTTAATGGGCTATATTTAAGCAGTGGAGAGCACATGACCCGCCAGCCAGTATCATGTGTCTCCAACAAATAACATGCAGGGTGAGACATTTCTTCAAGATGCAAGGACATGTGTATAAAATGCAGTGTGACAGCCAAAGGGCATTTTTTTTTTAAAGCTTTTGGGTGGAATATAAAGCTGATTGTAGTGGTAGGGAAGGAGAGCAGTGTCAGACATGCAGACTGGAGAAGCTCATGTGCAGGCTCAACATGTATGGTTTGTTTGTTTGGAAAATTGTTACACTTCATTGCTCCTGGAGAGTCATTTTCTGTAGTATTTTCTGTCTCTTTCATAAGCTGAAATGACCATTTCCACAGTTCACAACATAGATTGCATGGTTCAATAACAACCACACTGCATTCTCGGATTTTCAGACAACTGGAAACAGTTTTCTGTTTGTCTACATCTCAATCTTGCATTTGTTTTCTTGTCCTTTACTTAATGAAAAGTTAAAAACATGGGGCGAACAGGCAGTGTCATTATCTGTCAGAATCATTTACGTGATGGACGTGTTAAGATTTTCAGCTTTTCAAGAAATGTAGAAGCAAAAAACCAAGGACAACTCAGATGTCATAACTAACAAAGATAACTTTGGTTGATGTTTTTTATTTACTTTTTTTATTGCCTTTATTTAGCCAGGTAAACCCTGTTGAGATCTGGATCTCATTTTCAAGGGGGACCTAGGCAGAGATCTGCAATACAGTTCTACATGTATGTTCTACAGTCACATTAGTTTGTTGCTTTTTGTACATCAGAATAAGACATTTAGAAGCCTACTGAGAGGCGTCCTGTCTTGGTCTCGGCCTCTAATGTACTTGGCCTTGTCTCTCCACTCCTTGGTCTCAGTTGGTGTGGTCTTGACTAGAACACTACTAGTTTGTAAAGTAAGTAAAAATGTAACATCCATTAATCAAAACAGCTAAGATATTGTTTGTAATATGCAATCCCATCACTAGTTCAGCAGTTTTATGATCCATGTTGATCCTGATCTGTTTCTCATAATCTTTATGTTGTTTGGTTAAGGTGTGTCAAGTTTTTATTAACCCTTATTTAAAAAAATATCTGTAATGTAGCCTCTTGGTTCACATGTTGTTAGACTTTATTTTTTGTTGCTAATTAATGTCAGCAGAAAAAAGAAGTTATGCTTAAGGGATTTTGTTCAAAAACAAATTCTTTAAAAAATTCAGATTGTTATTAAATGCAGGTCCAGACGACAATTATATGAAATTCTAAAGTTAAAAATTTTTTTTGCAGCAATCATACATATAAAAGTTCACAAAAGCATTAAAACATTACAATAGTAATAAAAAAAGAGATAAAATTGTTTTGATGATTTAAAAAAGTCTGTCACTTGGATTTAGCTTCTGCTTCAAAAGGCTGACATATTCCTGAAATGAAAGTCTACATTCCAGCGCGATCACAAGTTTATGTTGGAAAGGAAGTCGTTATCATCTTCATCTTGGTGGGTGGGAATGCTGGTGGGCTGCGATTTAAATTCCTCCAGAAGCTTATTTTCCAGAGCTGCATCTTCAGGGCTGAGCTGCTCCCCTTTGGTCATTACATACACAAAATATTCAAAGCCTTCTCCGTAGCTGTCATGTCTGACCGACCAGTTGTACTCGGTGCGGGCATAGAGGCGTTTCCTGAAGAAAGGCTGAGCGAATGTAATGGAGACAAAGCGGCCTCCGGGTCTCAGGCAGCGACTTATCTAAGAGAAAAACCAGGAGACAAACAAAAAGAATAGTTGGTGAAATGTCAAATATCCTTCATTTGTTCATTTTTATAGTGGCATTCTCAGTTGTTATCCCTAATAAGAAAGTGAAAATACACAACAAAGGCAAATATTTTATTACATATACAATTATTTGCTTTTACTATTTAATTTACTATTTATTCAATTCTTCTTTCACAAAAAATATATATGAAAAGAATTTCTAAACAGATGTTAATATAGTTTTAATATTTTTTTCTTTTCAAAAACTTTAATCTTAAATCCATGCCTTCTTCTTTGCTGAGGGTATAAATATCACATTTCAAGAGGCCTATTTCTCTGAACTGTTAATCTTAAATAGTTCCTAACAGAATATAGAAGAAAACATGCTAATAATTACAGTAGGGAATGGTACAAAAAAAAAAAAAAAACAAGTTACGTGTTAATTGTGAAACAACTGAAACTGCGATGTAGAAAATCAAACCTTTAAAGCTTGATGTTGAAGAACTACAGCAAAGACTAACAGTCTCGATACCAGCATTTTACCATAAGGGTCTGATCTTCAAAGTTTTAAATAAAGGGTTCTAAATTACATGTGCAATAATCTTTTTTTTCCCTTAGGTGGGCGATATAGGGGTGATCAACAAAAATTGCTGAGCAAATGTCAATATATGCCAAGTGGTTCAGTCCCACCCCATTAAAATGAACAGATTGTCTGTGGTACTGGTAGCTGTCTAAGAAATATGAGGTTCTGAGCCATGTGGTTGGATGTGAATGATGTGTGGATGTGTAAAGATAATTATCTTAACAATAAAAATGATTACTTTACATAGGTAATGTATGTCAAAGTGCTACGAAAAAAAGTAAAAATCAAAATCGTGAAGAAAAAAAAAGGAAAATGTAAAAATACTAAATACTAATTTAACATAGAGCTTCTCTAAATCTCAGCATTGACCACTTCGGTGACATTTTCCTGACTTTGACTTGGGGCAGGGTTATGCTCAGGTTAAGTTACACTTTAAGGATTTATTTTTACGTGCTTGATGCCTTAGATGGTAAAACCCCAAAGCAAGGAAAGCTTGAAGCTCTTTTTGGCCTTACACTGCAGCAAGCTTTAACAGGATATATAGATCAGGCTGTATAAACATGCAACATACTAATGAAAATGAAGCAAATATAGGAAATCGATTGTGAAGGAAGTCTGAAATATGTACGAATGGAGAAAAATAGCAGTTATTGATATACATACAAAAAACAAAGCAGAAAAAAAAATGTAAAACACTACATTGCAGAATGTACACAGCTAATAAAACTTTCAGCTTCTACTGTAAGAGTCAGAGATATTTGCAGGAGTTCTGTTCCACCAGGTAATTATAATTACCCACTTGGTGCACCATTATGAAACCTCCAAGGTATCTAATATATCATTATTATTATTATGGACTGTCACTGCTTTTGGTGACCTAATAATAAATCACTGGTTTATTTATTACGGCTGTGGGGGAAGCAATCATTTAAGTGCCACTAAGATCTGAGCTATCTACTTTTTCCTTTGCTCAAAATTTAATAATAAAATCCATCCCCTATCTTTCAGTGTTGTTTTTTAAACCTTTGGCGTTTGAAAAAAAAAAAAATCCAAATGCGACTAAGATTAAGGTACAAACAGGTTATCCTGACGAGACGCTTCAACCACTAATCTGCTCCTTAGTCATGGAGACAATGAACACGGCGAGAGCACAAAAACACTGCTATGTTTATACAAATGCAGCAGCTTCTTGAAGGAACTCCATGGCTATAAACAGCAGTACAGGACAAGCACAATCACACATTCACATACACTTACAGTTAAAACAGCAATAGATAAATAGATTAAGTCAGACTTTGGCAGCAAGTTTAATAGGAGACAGAGTGTGAGTGGGAGCAAGTGGATGGGATATGAAGAACACTGAGCTGTGTACAACAAAGTTTAAGTATTCAGTAAACAAGTTTCACTCACCAGGTCCTGCTATTGTCCACTTAAACAGACCAGAATATCATGTCGAAATGCTTGACCAAATCACAGGAAACTGCCCATGTAAGAAATTCTAACAACTGTCTAATGTCAATTAGCTTCCAGAGCAGACTGGTGTTGGTACAAAAAAGAAGGAGTTGCAAGATCTCGTGGATCATGGAATGTTTGCCTTTCCTTGAGAAGAAGAAAAGGAAAAAGACAGAATCCTGACTCTGATTAAGACAAGATGAGATGGGAGAGCTGATCTGGGGCATTACACTGCAGCATAGATCAATCTTCTTAACTATATCAATGAAATAAAAAACAACTAAAATTGCACTTGAATACATTTGTTCGTGCAAGAACTCTGAATACAACATGGCTGTGGTGGATATAAACACATGAGACATATATATACATATATATATATATATACATATACACATACACATATTTCAGCCATGGCTCTAATAGGTGCCATCAACCTCCAACTACTTCTGGTCTTTTTACAAGGCAGTAAGGTCCAGTTGCAGATCACGTGACTCGTGTGATGCAAAAAAAAAAGTGTTTCCATTGCAGTTTTGCAAAATATAACAATTTCAATACCACCGATAAACCACCCCACAAACTGCAGTGTTTCCATTCAGCAAAATTATTTCCATAACTACAAGATGTGAAATTTGATGGTTAATGGAAATACGGTTACTGTAGAGTAAAATAGTTTAAAGCTGTTCCAAATCTCGAATGCTATGTCTTGTGTCAAAATGTTCTCCAAGGCAGTCGAGTATAAAGGCTTAAACCAAAGAGGTCCAAAAGTTATGGAAACAAGTCTGTGCATGAGTGGAGAGAAACCATGGATGCATGGGGAACACACCATGATGAAAGACCCTAGGGCAGGAATCAAAACAAAGACCTACTCGATGGAAGGCAACAGCGCAGAAAAACTGTGCCACCGTGCAGCCCGATACTAGAGTACTGAAATTCTTTCAACAAAGCAATGTAACCGCTAAAGCTAGAAAGTTCCTGTACGGCTACAGCAGGTGAAATAAGTAGGCTATTGAACACAGCACCCTTTCTCTTAATAAATATATTTCTAGAGGTGCTATCAACACCAGAAAACGGTAACAATCCATGCAATCCACACATACAATGAAATCAATCCACAGATGTCCAAGAAATGAAGTTATTTGTAATAACACACATGGAAAAAGTATTGAACACGTGAAGAATGGGAGGTGCAAAAAGGCAAGGAAAGCCAAGACACCAGAAAGCAATCTTGCCCCTTGTCAGTGCAACAAATATCAGCTGGTTCATTCCCAAATTATAGCCTATAAAAAGGTGTCTCTGATAAGAAACGTGACATGATGTGTAAAAGTGAAGAACTTTCTCAAGACGTTCACAACCTTAATGATGGCATTGGTTACAGAATGAATTCTTAACTTCTGAATGTTCCAGGGAGCAAGGGTTCCAGGGTGCCCGTTTTAGAGGTATAGAATGTAAATAAAATAAGAATGACAGAGACTAACTTTATATTTCCATCTTTGTTTTCTAAAATTAGAAAAAAAGGAATTTTACTGATGGTATGGGGTAAATGGTAGTTATAAGGTTAAAGGTTTTCTACCTATGATTGTTGTTACATCTGTTCTCAAAAATGTTAAATGGTCACTTCTGTAAGAGAAAACATGGAATTAAATTAAATCTAAACTAATGAGGGAAACTTTATGATATTTATGAATGGGGTTATTTATTTTAGCAGACTCGAAAAAGATTTTCCTGCCTAAAGCAAATAGGACACCGAAGTAAACAGATCACAGGTTGTAAAAACTTAATGTAAATCTGTATTTCTGTTTGTTAATACTTATAATTTTAATTTAAGCCAGATTTTTAAATCTGAGCATAATGAAAAGCCATCATGGATAAGTTATGAGGCCAGAATAAAGAGGTGCTCCTTCTTTCTAAAGAAAAAAGAAAAAAGATGTGAATGTGTCATTGGAGTGAAGAGTTTCTCTAATAAGAGCATGTGTATTCTGCTCTTTTTGAGTGATTCATATCCAGCAGCAAAGCAGAACATAAATTATTTACCTTCTGCTGCCACTTGGAAGTAATGCAGAGAAAGTTTGAAGAAGCAGTGGTTTAGGAGAAATATATTTATCCCGCAGAAACAGGAGAAAGATGAAACCATCCATCTTAATTCCTCTCACTGAGAAAGTGAGAATGATCGAAATGCAGGGGAAAAAAACTGCAATGATGGCAAATATTTATTCATCTTAAACAGCAAATAATCCACTGCTTATAAGACAAATAACACAAATTGTTGTTTTTTTTTGCAGAAATTTGTGTCCAGAGTAAAACTGAATTCAGTTGATCTTAAATGAAGTTTCATTACAGTCTTACCAATATAAAGTGATCCATCCAATCACTTTTTCTTCCAGGCAAACCACAGATTCATAAAGTGAACAAATAAATCTTAATTGAATCAGAAAAATAAGAGGCATATTACATTTAACCCACACCTTCCTGATTCTTCTCTATTTTCATTCAATGCAGTAACTCACCCGCCCTTTATTACCTTATCTCAGTGAATAAAAAATAAAATAAAAAAAATAATCATCCTGGGCTATACATTTCTAAGGTGAAACATGGTGGTTGCACAATTTCCTCAGAAGAGACAAGGATGCAGCTCAGAGTTGATGGGAAGGTCACTGATGGAGCTAATTACAGCACAACCCAATGACCCGTCAGAGGCTGCGAAAAATAAAAACAACAATACTGGGGCTGAGGTCCACTTTCCAACTGGGCTTCACCAAAAGCACAACCATACTCCATAGATACGTTTAAATTACAGAAAAATCATCTATTCTAGGGATCCTCTAAAAGTCCATTGATTAAAATTACTTGGTATACAAAGAAAAACAAAAACCTGCAAAAAAAAAAGGTGTTTTACATAGTATCTGAACTGAGATGTAAAGTGACCCAATGGGCTCTTAAGAGAACACTGAGAAAACTA